GGCAGCAGTTGAAATAATAGGTATCGAGTGATAAGGTCCAGGTCATGGTAGGAAAGAGGAACAATAAAGTAAAACCAAAAGACATCGCTCCTTTGAATAAAGACGAACAGTAAGAGAAGATGTCTAGGCACAGAACTTAACAGAAAAACCCTCCCCTCACAATCTACCCCCTCACTCCTAGAAGGCACTGGTGGAAAGATAATGAATGAGGTTTTATATATTCTGAATTTAAGGTTATTTGGGATGTAACTACTAAGGGCTTAGAAATAAATACTCAAATGTGCTGCAGCTGAGACAGTGGAAATAGAGCCACGAAGAAAGTTGAAGTTGGAGACAAGGCAAGGTCCCTTGTTCAAGAGATTAAAGATATAGAGAACAAGACCAAGAATCGAGAAGTTTATGATCACAGGTCAGAATTGAGAATTTGCTTAGCAAATGATACACAAAGCTAAAAAAGTCAAAGGAGAACCACAGTAGTGTAATACCACAAAAGCCAAGAGTTTCAAGAGATAAGTAAGATCAATATCCAACACCACAAACAGGTTATCTTTCAGGTAGTTTTTAGGACACCAGTAAACTTCTTCATCTGAGCTAAACTAAGTATTAGAGACTTAAACATCACTTTTTATTAATTCTTAATAAAGGGTAACTGGTGAGAGATTAACTTCTGCCTTTTAATATCTGCTCTTTCAGTAAGAAAAGAGTAAATGTTCTCTTTTTAAAAGTTAAATGTATAATTTAACAAATGTATAATTTTGTCCATACTTCTAGTAGTCTTTCACATTTTAAACAAAGCACTGTTGCTATATTATACTCATTACTGGGCATATAAATTGAATATTTTATTTTTAATAAACAGGCTAGAATGTAAAGTACTTGAAATTTTAATGTTGATTATTTCTAAAACTTTGATGAAAGAAGAGAGAAAAAAACATTACGTGGAAGCAATGTATTTAAGTATGGGCTTTGACGGTTGATAAACATGGTTTGAAATCCTGGCTCTGTCACTACTACGTTTGTGATCTTAGGGAAATTACTAATCCTCTCAGAACTTTAGTTTTCCCACCTGTAAAGTAGGGAAAATAATACCTACTTCAAGGGCTAATTGTGAGGATTAAATGAAATAATGCAAATACAGAACATAATAATCGTAATTATAATCATAAATTAGCTAACGCTTATTAAAGCACCTATAAGCCAGGTACTGTTTTAAGCACTTCACATGCATTTTCACATGTAATCCTCACAACACTGAGAAAAAGGGACTCTTATTCTCCCCATTTCACAGAGGAGAAAAACGCAGCACCAAGAGGTTAAGCACCTTGCAGAAATACTCAACACCCAGAACGCTCAATAAATAGGTGTTGTTCTTATTATCACTCGCAACAATGTTAAAATTATTGTGAATAAGTATTTAACAGTAAACTTACATGCCATTATAAGATGTTAAATGTTAAACTATATCCTTTATCTATAAAACGTGAACCAAGAAATAAAAGCAAACAGCAATTTTTTTTAAGTAATTCAAATGGAATATTAAAGGTACAAATGCTACCCTTCAAAAGTTAATAAGGTATCTGTGAGATCAAATACATATAATAATAAGATATCTGTAAGATGACACAAATATATATACACCTTCAAAGGCAAAGGGCGTATGTTTGTATGTAACCTTTCTGAGTACCTGTATTTCCATAAAATAATTCACAAAACAGGACTGATTACAGAGGTTCCTCTTAATAGCATTTGTACAGCAATACAAAATGTCTCTCCCTTCAACTATAGGCCACCTGAAAACCACCAACAGAACAAGAAGTCAATCCCTTAGCAGAGGTAGTTGTTTTTGTTTTTACTGTTGTTTAGGGGTTTTTTGGTACAGCCTCCAAGTTACAGAAAATTTCTAAGTACAGTAGGGTATCAAGTATTTTTTTCCTGATGTGAGAGCAAGTTGCCAACATGACGTCCGGTCACCCCTAAATACTTCAGTGTGTATTTCCTACAAATAAGAGAATGCTCCTACATAACCAGATAACCCCATCAAAATCAGGAAATTAACAGTGATATAGTACAATATCTAATCCTCAGATTCATTTCAAGTTTTGCCAGTTTCCTAATAATGTCCTTTACAGCATAATGAGTCATGAATTGCATTTAGTTGTCCCGGCTCTTTCACTCTGGTATAGTTCTTCAGCGTTTTCCTAATTTTCATGACCTTGCTACTTTTAAAGATAGCAGGCCGGTTATTTTGTAGAATGTCCCTCAATTGGAGTTAGTCTGACGTTTTCTCACGATTACATTCAGGGTATGCATCTTTGGCAGGAATATCAAAGAAGCGATGCCATATTCTTCTCAGTTCATTCTACCAGCTGGCACACTGATATGTGTGCTTTGATCACCACCAAGCTTCTCCACTGTAAAGTTCCTTTTTAATCTTTGTAATCAGTAAGTGTTCTGTGGGGAGACACTTTGAGACTGTAAAAATATCCCATCTCTCATCAAATTTTCCATTTATTCATTAATTTTTCCAGTATAGACTCATGGAGTTCCGATATTATTTGTAATATTTTTCCATCATTATTTATCTTTATATTCAAATTGATCCAGATTTGGCCAGTGGAGTGCATTCAAGCTGGTTCAGAGTCATTTTGACATAATCCCACCCTTCTTTGAACAACTTTCTTGCACAATAAGATGTTCCAAGCTCATCTTGTACTTTCCCTGACCCAGACCTGAAATTAGCCATTTCTCCAATAAGCCCTGGTTCATTGAGAATGGTATTTAGAGACCAAGAACTAGGTGTCAGGCTTGCTATGTCTATCTATCTATGCTGAAAACTGTAAGTGCACACGGATTTCTCCAATTCCTCTCCAACAGCACTAGTTCATTCTATGTTCCTCCATTTTGTAACTCCTTTCTCTGACAGTGAGAAACTAGGCTCCTATTATCTTTACTATACATTCTTATTTGATCAACCACCTCACCTTGTATATAACCAGTTTTTGACATGGACGCTTCACTGCATGGATGCCATCCACCCCACTCAGGCTCTGTCAAACTAGTCTGAGCAACTGTCACCACCCTCCAGACTGGACATCCTCCATATGCCGCTCACACACTCCATGCTGAGCCCCTCTTCTACACAGATACCCCCTTACCAGGCCTAAGCTCCAAAACCCCACCCTGGGCCACCACTATGCATGTGGACACCTTCCTCACCCTGGTCATGCAACAAAATCCCCTCTGTGGGTCAAAAAGGTGGAGAACTAATGCAGGTACCTTTTGATTGCATTGTTCAGGAAGGGAAGAGGGAAAAGGAAGTGAAAAGTAGAGACAGTATTAAAAATTGCAAACTATCTCTTTCAAAAACTAAACATTTCTTTCATCTATAATCTCATTTGCTCTAGAATGGAGTCACAAATGAACTTAAGAACAAAAGAGACTTTTAAATTCTGGTTCTCCTACTTAGTAGCTAAATGACTTAAGTTACTTAACTTCTTCAGCTTCAGTGGAAGAGTACTCATCTCACAATCGTTACAAAAATAAAATAATCCATGTAAAGCAAATGTATGGTACCTGACCTAAAGTCAGCATTCAATAAACGTAAGTTATTATTACTACTTTCTCTTTTACATTATCATTATTAAACACATGTCAAAAGATAGTTATATACATGTGTATAATTTTATAGGAATTAGTTCTTAGCTTTCTTTAACTTCTGAAAGAGTCAGTGTCCCTAAAGACATTTAAAAACACCCGTAGTATTTATCTTACGACTACTAACCAAACCATAGCCTCTGGTTTATCCTACATTTCTGATAAATTATTTTCTAAAACTTTGCCAGGATCATGTCATTCTGCTGAAGCAAAGTTATCAGTGGCTCCTGACAGCCTAGCAACAAAGAAGATTCTTCAATCTGGCAATCAAGGCTTAATATAGTATGAGTCAAATCTACCTTTGCAGAATTGTATCTCATTCCTCACCTACACAAAATTTCTGCTTCAACCACTGTACCTTTATACACTTTTCCATCTACATGCTCTGGCCCATATCTTGGCTAGAATGCTCATCTTCCCCATTTACTCCCAACAAAATTTTGCATGTTTTTCAAGGTCCAGCTTAAAATCCACCTCCTCTTTGGAATTTCCCTTGACTACAGCAGCCAGAAGTAAGCTCTTCCTCCCCAACTCCTAAAGAACCAGGTAATATTGTAATTACTATTGTATAGGGACATTCATTATATCTCCTGCTAGATTGAATTAAGATCCTCTTGGAGAAAGGACATATGCTTTCTATCTCCAAAACAACTACCAATCATAAACATATATATCAGTCGCTATTTAAAACTTATTCTTCACAATAGTTTTATCATGTTGGTGTCATTATCTCTATTTTATAGATGAAGAATCTTAGGCTCAACGATGTTGGAAGTGCGCACAAAGTCGCACAGCTGGTAAGTGGCAAAACAAGCTTTTCCCTAACGTGTTTCACAAACCATGAGATATGCGGAATGAACTCTAGTGCGGGAAAGGTTCTCAGGTCAAATAAGTCTGGAGGATTAACAAAGTTAAATCACTGTTTTTACCAAGGGGGTTCTCAAAGCCTTTAACGAGCTACTGATACGCTTTATAAATCTCCAACAGGGCACATGTTACGCTTCCCAAATGTATTTGGGAATAAAATTCTTTTTCAAAGGACCATCAGCCTTATAGGACTAGTGTTCCAGAAAACCCATTTCAGGAAATGTGGCAATGTGTTCCATTGTCTTTGAAAAGCCTTTGTACATAGTAGGCACTCAATATATACTTCTTCAAGAAGAAAAATTACTCCTCATGCTGAAGTAACATGTTAATGTAACTCCACATACTAAAGAATAAGGTAATTTCACTCTTCTTATAGCAGGAGGGCTCAAGTATAATAATTACTTCACTAATTATTTGAGTATTAAATTGAAAACATTAATTTTCATTAGACTAAAAACAAGATTAAGAGAAATTTCTACCTGTGCTTTTATGATATGCATGAATCTTGACATCAACTCAGGACATTCAAGAAGGAAGTGAAAGTGGTCAAATATAATTTTGGGATTTCTAAAAGAAAAATACATTTTGTTTAAATGGACAAAAAAGATGAGTAGCATTAAGTGAAATGCAAATTCAGATATACAGACATTGAAACAGAAGAAAAACACTTATTAATCCACACCTAACATACTTTCATTTGTCATTGCGCATTTTTTTAATAGTAACAGAAGTAACATCTTTTCTGTTGACATGAAAACTGTTAAGAAAGAAAAGGTTACAAGGGCAGTTTATGAACCTGAGAAAGCCTTACCTGTTAACAAAGCATTTTAAAACTTCATCGTGTTTGCAGACAAATTCAATGAAACGGGGTGAAGTCATTCTGTGGGAGGTAAAAAAACAATCAGAACATATAGACAGAAGCTGGTGATATACCAAATTGATAACTACGTATTGAAATGTACTGGCTGCTAGGCAAGAAAAAGAATTTGGGTTTGGATCATTTTTATAAATTTAGGAAACTGAGGCATGTCTAGTCAATTTATAAGATGTAAAAATATATACAGTAACTTTTCATCAACAGATGATATAAACAAGTGACTTTTTAAGAACCTTGAAATTTTAAACATCTCTGCTCTACACATTTCGAATAGTTAAGTGATCCTGTACAAGTGACCTTCACCATTCTATACATTACTAACTTATAAAATGCTTAGAACTCAAATATTTTGTACTAATTCTATATTAGTACAATGAATATCCTAAAACAAGATCAGAATAGAACCTAAAATCAACAAATTATTTGTTGTTACTGAAATTACAAAAAAATCATAGCTTTTCTTCATCTATCAGAGAAGGAAATAATAAGCAGAAACCTTCTTACCCTGGAGGCATCTGACAAGAACAGCACATGTAAAAAGCCTGAATGACAGCACTTAGCCGGTTAGCTGTCATAGAAATAACATCCTGACAGTCTGCACCAGCTTCCTGTTTCCCTCCAAGAGCATCTGGCTTAGATTCCCCTGTGCCAGTGGATAGATTTTCACAGCTCCCAGGTCCTGGAGGCTCAAATGGAGGAATGGAAGCACCATCTTGATCTTGGCCTTTCTGTTTCAGTAAAATAGAAGTGATATCTGTCGAGTCCTTTTTGCTTTTCATCAATTCTGTAGCTATTAAAACTAGCCACTCATCTAATGAGTGCCAAAGCAATTCCAGAGGCTAAGAGAAAAAGAAAAGTGTTTTTTAAACATCATTCTTCAACTCCAGGATAAAAAACCCACAAGGCCAACCACACATTATAAAAGAGAAGATGAACTCTAGATACTTCTGTTTTCCCAAGTTTATGTGACAGCAATGTCTAAAGGTAAGTAACAAAAACATATGAATGTCATAGAAATGACAATTTCCTCATTTATAGCAAATATTTAATTTGCATTGATTTATTCCTTGGAATAAAAAGGGAAAACTAAAATCTAACAAAAAAAATTACAAGCAATCTTTCTTCTTTTAAAAATTTTCAAATATTTAGTTTTAAAAGCATACATTAGGGGCCGGCCCGGTGGCATAGCAGTTAAGTATGCACGTTTCGCTTCGGCGGCCCAGGGTTCGCAAGTTCGGATCCCCAGCGTGCACCGAAGCACCACTTGTCAAGCCATGCTGTGGCAGCATCCCATATAAAGTAGAGGAAAATGGGCATGGATGTTAGCCCAGGGCCAACCTGCCCCAGCAAAAAGAGGAGGACTGGTATTGGATGTTAGCTCAGGGCTGATCTCCCTCACAAAAAAAATAAATAAATAAATAAAATAAAAGCATACATTACTTTTATATATACAATCTCCCTAACCATTACTATATATATATATTTTTTAAAGATTTTATTTATTTTATTTTTTCCCCCCAAAGCCCCAGTGGATAGTTGTATGTCGTAGCTGCACATCCTTCTAGTTGCTGTATGTGGGACTCAGCCTCAGGATGAACGGAGAAGCGGTGCCTCGATGCGCACCCGGGATCCGAACCCGGGCCACCAGCATCGCAGCGTGCGCACTTAACCACCAAGCCACAGGGCCGGCCCTAACCATTACTATATTAACGTAAGTGTCAACAATTTTCAATTATGGCTTTTTTCAATTAAAAAAAATGAGAACTCAGGGCCAGCATAGTGGTTGAATTTGCATGCTCCACTTCAGCACCCCCAGGGTTTGCAGGTTTGGATCCCAGGTGCGGACCGACACACCACTCATCAAGCCATGCTGTGGCAGCGTCCCATATAAAGTGGAGGAAGATGGGCACAGATCTTAGCTCAGAGCTAATCTTCCTCAGCAAAAAGAGGAGGATTGGCAGTGGATGTTAGCTCAGGGCCAGTCTTCCTCCCCCTCCCCCAAAAAAAGGAGAATTCCTAAAGAGCCTAATAAACAGCTTAGTTTACTGTGCTCTTTTCTTTACACGTAATTCCTAGAATTTGGAAATTTTATGAGAAGAAATTTTAAAATATGACGATATTTATATATACACACACACTCACATACATATATATGCTTACCCACACACACACAAAATCCATCTCTAATGACTGGTAACTATCAAATACTGACTAGTAAATTCTTAATTCCAGATAAAGATTAACAACTTAAAAAAGAAAAAGAAGGGGCCGGCCCGGTGGCGCAAGTGGTTAAGTGTGCACGCTCCACTGCAGCAGCCAGGGGTTCACCAGTTCGGATCCCGGGCACGCACCAACACACCGCTTGGCAAGCCATGCTGTGACGGCGCCCCATATAAAGTGGAGGAAGATGGGCACGGATGTTAGTCCAGGGCCAGTCTTCCTCAGCAAAAAAAAAAAAAAAAAAAAAAAAAAAAGGAGGATTGGCAGATGTTAGCACAGGGCTGATCTTCCTCACAAAAAAAAAAAGAAAGAGAAAGAGTAAACTGTTTCTTATTTCCACACTATTTAAAATATTCCTTTTGAGAATAATGAAATGTCTTCTGTAAATTAATAGCAAATGGAATTTTATTTTTTAAATATTATGTGATTACAAATGCTACAACAGGACTAAGTACTAGAGAAGATAAAATATATATATCACCTCTAATAATTAGTTTTTAACACAAGCAGAAATATAAATGCCCAACTACTATTAAAAGATCTGCTAACGGGGAATCTAATGTACAGCATTGTGACTATAGTTATCAATACTGTATTTTACACTTGAAAGTTGCTAGGAGAGTAAAACTTTAATGTTCTCACCATAACAACAACAAATGGTAATTATGCAAGGTGAAGGATGTGTTAACTAACTTTATCATGGTAAACATTTCACAATATAAAAGTGCATCAAATCATCATATTGTACATCTTAAACTTACACAATGTTGGATGTCAATTATATCTCAATAAACTGGGGAAAAAAGAAGACCTCCTAGAACATTTTAATCCCAAATGAAGATTAACAGTTACGGGGAAGAGTGGTTAAATGGTCCTTCATTCCTACACTATTTAAAATATTCCTATTGAGAATGATAAACTCTCTTTCTGCAAATCAATGTAAAAGTTAATCTTACTTTTTGGTTCTTATATGATCACAGAACGCTACAAACTAGACCATGGGATTCAGAAAGACCCACCTTTACAATATTTCAACTAAAAGAAATAATCTTACTTTCAAAGACCACTATAGAAAGAGATTATATAACCATACTTGAAATCTAGAAAATGTTTAAATAATCTGTTCTGCCAGGAAATTCTTTCCAATTATTACCTAACAAATCCCTCTGCTTTTCTTCAGGTTTCTAGAACATGCTCTGCTTGAGAACATTTTACTTATTGAATTTCCAAACAAATAAATCACCCCTAAGTCTTCACTTAAACGTTAAACCAAAAAGCAGAAAATAAAACAAAACAAGAAGACCCCACCACCATCAACAAAAACTTAGTTCACTCACTCAACAAATATTTAGTTAGTACCTACTGAGTAAACAGATAGGCAAAGTGAGAAACTAGTTACACCCTGAAGTTGAAATGAGCACCCCTCTCCCCGACAAAGAGGGCTTTTCCATGGTTAGGCACAGCAGTTGGAAGATTCAGGGTCCCTGAGCTGCTTAAAGGAAAGGCAGGAAGCACCAGCTGCCATAAACACTGACATGATACCTTCATGTCTTAATTCTAATCATGATCCAAGTTGGAGTCTACAGTGAGCAAAACATTAAACCTGCTGTAAAAGATGAAACAGAACTTTTTATGTCGGCAAAAACTATTTAGCTTTACATCAGAAAAGGAACTTCCAAAACAGAAAGAACAGGTGCTGATGTAAAACTGCTTGAAACAAAAGAAAAAAGGCATAATTGGTCTCTTAATGAGTACGGCTAAAACCCAGAAAATCAACACCCTAGAAGGAGATGAAGTCTAAGGCAGGAAATGATGCCTGCTGCTCAAGCAGATGACAGCACTGAGCCTGAACCTACAACACTCCTATTTTCAAATAGTGACAAGGTGCAAAAACTAAAGGTGAATTTTGAACAATCCAGAAATAACATCCAAAACGCAAAACCAGATCTGTGTAAAATGATAGTGATGATAAAGATACTGAAAAGCTAGCAAGAGTTTTCAATAAAGGAACACAGCAAAGAATTAAAAGATTTTCCCAATTATAATTCTATGAAACTATTAAGAGTGACTGATTACTATTCACAAAAAAAGAGCGTATCAAGATTCCGGAAGCCTAAATTGGCTTCCCCACGCTCACCTTGCTTCAACAACCAAAACTACCTTCTCCTTCAGATGCTCCAAAGTTCCCAAGGCGCTAGATAAAAATCTCTTCACACCACAAAAATGGCTAAGTGTTAAGATTAACTTAAAGGATTTCTAAGATAAATCAGAAAACTACTCAACAGGATATTAAACAATTTTACCTACTAAAAACACATGGCCTATAAACTCACTCATCTTTACAGGAAAACCCATTTGTTAATTCTAACAATAAAGTGACAAGTTAAGAGCACCTAGTTAGGGCCAGCCCTGTGGCTTAGCGGTTAAGTGCACATGCTCCGCTGCTGGCAGCCGGGTTTGGATCCCGGGCGCGCACCGCTTCTCTGGCCATGCTGAGGCCGCGGCCCACATACAGCAACTAGAAGG